TGTAGGTGAACTACAACTCCAAAACCAAAGGACACTGCCCACCAAACACTTCCAGTATTTTCTGTTTGTCATGGGAGAACTGTGTGCCAAGTTTGGTACAATTCCATCATTGCTGAAGTTCAGAATGCTCTTTGATTGTAGGTAAAGTATAACTCCCAGCAACTACAACTCCCAAGTGTCAAGGATATTTCCCCCAAACTCCACCAGTGTTCACATTTGAGCATACTGAGTATTATTTGTACCAAGTTTGGTCCAGATCCATCATTGTTTGAGTCCACAGTGCTCTCTGGATGTAGGTGAACTACAACTCCCAAACTCAAGGTCAATGCTCAGGAAACCTTTCTAGTATTTTCTTTTGGTCATGGGAGTTGTGTGCCAAGTTTGGTTCAATTCAATCATTGGTGGAGTTCAGAATGCTCTTTGATTGTGGGTGAACTATAAATATCAGCAACTACAACTCCCAAATAACAAAATCATCATTTTTTGAGTGATGGTCACTTCTTGTGTTGTGAGATGTTTTGATGCCAAATTTGGTGTGATTTCGTTCATTGGTTCTTTTGTTTTTAAGGTACTCATTATGCACAGAGCATTGTTAGATTGATAGATAGAGATAGATAGATAGATAGATAGATAGATAGATAGATAGATAGATACTAGGCTTGGGCAATCCATGGTTCTAAATGGTTCTAAAGTACTTACAAAACTAAAGTTCTGCTGGTGAAAATTTCAGAAGTCTAACAAAACTTTCAAAATTTAATTATTATTTCATTATTGGTGATTTTAATGACAGAACCAATTAGGAACTGCCATTTATTATGAAATTTTGAGAGTTTTGTTAGAGTTCTGAAATTTTCACCACCAGAACTTTAGTTTGTAAGTACTTTAGAACCATTTAGAACCATGGATTGCCCAAGGCTAATAGATAGATAGATAGATAGATAGATAGATAGATAGATAGATAGATAGATAGATAGATAGATAGATAGATAGATAGATAGATATGGTAGTGTAGAAGGAGCCTTCTTTGCCTAAGGGGGGGGGGGGGAATATTCATGGAGTTGTCCAAAAATGGAAACGTGACTCGGAAGCACGAATTACGACGAGAGCGCGGCGTGACTCTACTGGTTTCATACCTCTGTGGTGCCTCTCTGGGCCTTGAAGGGCCGCTTTCCGTCGCGAGGTGGGGTTGTTTTTGCTTTACGGCAGCCGCAAATGAGGGCGGGAGGCGTTTGCGACAGAAGCTGGAAAGCGGCGGAGGAGGAGGAAGCTGAAGAAGAAGGAGCGGCGGAGGTGGCGGCGGAGGGGCTCCAATTATGCCGTCCGGGAATGGGGGTGGGAGAAGGCTGGCTGGCTGGCCGGAGGGGCGGCTTGAAGGGAGGAGAAGGAAGCCAGCCAGCAAGGAAGGAGGAAGGAAGGCGAGGCGGGGAGGGAAGAAGGCCTGGGGCCTGGTGTAGGCCTCAAGAGAGGGAGAGCCATTGGGGAGTCAGGACAAGCCCACCCCATTCACTGCATTCTTATGGTATCATAGAATCCTAGAGTTGGAAGAGACCTGGTAGGCCATAATAATAATAATATTAATAATAATAATAATAATTAGAATAATAAATAGAATAATAAAATTCTAGAGTTGCAAGAGACCTGATGGGCCATAATAATAATAATAATAATAATAATAATAATAATAATAATAAAAAAAAATAGAATCATAGTATCCTAGAGTTGGAAGAGGCCTGGTGGGCCATAATAATAATAATAATAATAAATAGAATAATAGAATTCTAGAGTTGGAAAAGACCTGGTAGGCCATAATAACAACAACAACAATAGATTCCTAGAGTTGGAAGAGATCTGGTAGGCCAAAATAATAATAATAATAATAATAATAATAATAATAATAGAATCATAGATTCCTAGAGTTGGAAGAGACCTGGTAAACCATAATAATAATAATAATAATAATAATAATAATAAAATAATAAATAGGTTCCTAGAGTTGGAAGAGACCTAGTGGGCCATAATAATAATAATTAGAATAATAATTAGAATAATACAGTCCTAGAGTTGGAAGAGACCTGGTAGGCCATAATAATAATAATAATAATAATAAATAGAATCATAGATTCCTAGAGTTGGAAGAGACCTGGTAAACCATAATAATAATAATAATAATAATAATAAAATAATAAATAGGTTCCTAGAGTTGGAAGAGACCTAGTGGGCCATAATAATAATAATTAGAATAATAATTAGAATAATAGATTCCTAGAGTTGGAAGATACCTGGTAGGCCATAATAATAATAATTAGAATAATAGATTCCTAGAGTTGGAAGATCGATGCTTTTGAGCTGTGGTGTTGGAGGAAAGTGCTGAGAGTGCCTTGGACTGCGAGAAGATCCAACCAGTCCATCCTCCAGGAAATAAAGCCCGACTGCTCACTGGAGGGAAAGATACTAGAGACAAAGTTGACGTACTTTGGCCACATCATGAGGAGACAGGAAAGCCTAGAGAAGACAATTATGCTGGGGAAAGTGGAAGGCAAAAGGAAGAGGGGCCGACCAAGGGCAAGATGGATGGATGGCATCCTTGAAGTGACTGGACTGACCTTGAGGGAGCTGGGTGTGGTAACGGCCGACAGGGAGCTCTGGCGTAGGCTGGTCCATGAGGTCACGAAGAGTCGGAGACGACTGAACGAATGAACAGAGTTGGAAGAGACCTGGTGGGCCATCCGGTCCAACCCCATTCTACCAAGAAGCAGGAAAATAAATTCAAAGTACTTCCACAGATGGCCATCCAGTCTCTGCTTAAAAGTCTCCAAAGAAGGAGCCTCCACCACACTCAGGGGCAGAGAGTTCCACTGCTGAACAGCTCTCCCAGTCAGGAAGTTCTTCCTCATGTTCAGGTGGAATCTCCTTTCCTGTAGTTTGAAGTCATTGCTCCATTGTGCCCTAGTCTCCAGGGCAGCAGAAAACAAGCCTGCTCCCTCCTCCCAATGACATATTCCCCTCACATATTTATACATGGCCCTCATCATGTCTCCTCTCAGCCTTCTCTTCTGAAGGCTAAACGTGTGTATAGGAGCTATTCAGTTGTTTAAATGGTAACCATCCCATCTACCTGGAATTTGCTGCACCCTTTATGTACCACTGTTCAATTGACCTTTTAAACCATAAGGATAAAATGTGTTGACATTGTGTAAAAAGAATCACAGGAGCAATAAAACCCTGAAGTGTACAGAATTCTGTCAACATATTTAAAATCCCAGGAGCAAAGGATCCTGTGGAAAAGGAAAAGAAATAACTTTGAGAATGACATCAAGTGGGCTTGAAGTTTAATCTTCCTGGTTAATATGAAAAAGAGCTGTAGAGTGTAACAGAACCATTTTACAGAAGGGGTGGTCCTTAACCAAAAGTTGGAAAATTTCCTTTGGGAACTACAACTCCCACAATCCCCCAGCATGGTAGAGGGATTCTGTCAGGTGCAGACAGCAAAGCAAAGTAGTGATGGACAAGGCTCTAACACAGCAACTCCCAAAATCAGGTCCTCCAGGTGTTTTGGGCTTCAACTCCCAGAGGCCTTGGCCAGTTTGTCCAATGGCCAGAGATTTTTTTTAAAAATTTAAGAAGATAGAAAAGTAGGAAATAAGAAAGTATAAAAAAAGAGAAAAAAAATTGACTTCCATTCCATCTTCCTGATTTCTTCGGTTCTTGATATTATAGTTTTTAATCTAGATTTATTTCCAGAGTTATCTCTTATTTCTGCTGTTATTATCATAGTCATGAAAGAGATCCCAATTAGTTCTCTAATGACCAGATATTTTTGAAATGTACTGTATATACTCGCGTATAAGCCGACCCAAATATAAGCCGATGCACCTAATTTTACCACAAAAAACTGGGAAAACGTATTGACTCGAGTATAAGCCGAGGGTGGGAAATGCAGAAGCTATGAGTCAATTTCAAAATAAAAATAGATACCAATAAAATTACATTAACTGAGGCATTAGTAGGTTCAATGTTTTTGAATCTATATACATAAAAATATAATGTTTGTTTGTGGAATTAACATAACTCAAAAACCACTGGATGAATTGATACCAAATTTGGACACAAGACACCTCTCAGGCCAACGAATGACCATCACTCATAAAAACACTGAAAAACACCGCAAAAGAGACTTAAAAAACAAAACAAAAACAAACAAAAAATACATTACAACACATGCACAAAACCACATATGTACGCAAACACACACACACAAAACACATATAGCAACGAGTGGCAGGGGACAGCTAGTGTTGTTTACATAAAACTGTAATTTAAGATAATACAGTCCAATTCTGATTAAACCATTATTCTAACCTTCTTCAATGTCAATGTAATAATGCATCCTTTAATAATAAGTAATAGTAATAAAATAATAAATGTAATAATACCAGTAGAGTAAAACAATAAATGTAATAATAATAATAAATAGAGTAAAATAATAAATAACATTGACTCGAGTATAAGCCGAGGGGAACTTTTTCAGCCTAAAAAAAGCGCTGAAAAACTAGGCTTATACTTGAATATATACAGTAAGTCCAAAACACCCAGAAGACAATACTGCAATTACTACTCTAGAACTCTCTTTGGGTCCATTCAAGAAGCATTGATAATGAATGCTCCTTAGTTGCTGCCTGAGGGTCAGAAATGTTGTGGTAACGTTATGCTACAAGTGCAGTGGCCATCCCTTTTGAAGTGACGTGACTTCCACCTATGTAATGCACATAAATTAGGTTAGACATGTTTAATCGTTCATGAAATTAGTCACCAATGTGTAAGACTGGTGACTTGGTCAAAAACACATGATGCAAAAGAAGAAGTGCATATGATAAAAAACACATCTCTTTATGGTACCTTGAGTGGCAGTTGGAGACAAGAGAGTAGGGGAAACTCAAGGTGATGAAGAAAGGTCAGCTCAGCTTGAATAGTAGAAGAGGGTTCAGGATGCCTTGGTAGGAAAGCTTAGTCCAGGTTGTACCCTCTTCCATCTCCAGACTGGCCAACTTGGACAGCGAAATGAGGCCACCGCAGCCGCCTGTTGCCAGCAAGGTGTTTGTCCAGCGGGACTACAGCACTGGCACCAAATGCCAGTTTCAGACCAAGTTCCCTCCTGAGCTGGAGAATCGGGTAAGCACCAAATGATTTTCAGCTTTTGCCCTTGCAATAAGACACTGTGAGCAGTGAGAACTTCTGTGGGGTTACAGAGGTGGTTTGGCTTTGAAATTGTAACTTTTTTAGAAACTATAGACCAGCGGTTCTCATCCTTCCTAATACTGCGACCCCTGAATACAGTTCCTTGTGTGATGGTGACCCCCAACCATAACATTATTTTCGTTCCTGCTTCGTATTTTGCTATTTTTATGAATTGTAATGTAAATATCTGCTATGCAGGATGTATTTTCTGGGATGGCTGTTCACTGAAGTACTGCAATGCCTGTGTGTGTGTGTGCCAGTATGTGTCATGCAAATGGCTTGAGGTGGCCAAACGTCGAGGACTTTCGACTCCACATTTATCATCTTGGGACCGAGGGGTTGAATCCAGCATGAAAGAGACCGCAATCTTAAGGCAGTGATTTTGCTGGCTGGGGAATGCTGGGAGTTGTTGTCCAGAACTCAGCTTCTCCAGGCTCCGAAGAAATTGTTCATAGGTAGCAAGAGAGCCTTTGGATCAGTGTTACTAAACCTTCCGAATGCTGCGACCCCTTAGTATGGTTCCTTGTGTTGTGCTGATCCCCAACCATAACAGTATATTCGTTGCCACTTCACAACTGTAATTTTGCTTCTGTTATGAATCGTAATGTAAATATCTGATATACAGGATGTATTTTCATTCACTGGACCAAATTTGGCACAAATACCCAGTATGCCCAAATTTGAATACTGGTGGGGTGGGGTGGGGTGAGTATTGATTTTGTCATTTGGGAGTTGTAGTTACTGGGATTTATAGTTCACTCACAATCCAAGAGCATTCTGAACCCCACCGACAACATAATTGGGTCAAACTTCCCACACTGAATCCCCATAACCAACGGAAAATTCTTTCAGTTCTTGTGGGTTTTTTCGGGCTATATGGCCATGTTCATGTTCTCCTGACGTTTCGCCTGCATCTATGGCAAGCTTCCTCAGAGGTCTGCTGGAGCTGGGAAAAAGGGGTTTATATATCTGTGGAATGACCAGGGTGAGACAAAAGGCTTTTGTAAGTTGGGCTAGGTGTGAATCTTTTCAACTGACCACCTTGATTAGCATACAATGGGCTGACAGTGCCTGGAGCAAACTCTTCTTGAAAGGTGATTAGATGTCCCTGCCTGTTTTTCTCTCTGCTGTTTTAATTTTAGAATTTTTTTAATACTGGTAGCCAGATTTTGTTCATTTTCATGGTTTCTTCCTTTCTGTTGAAATTGTCCACATGTTTGTGGATTTCAATGGCTTCTCTGTGTAGCCTGACATGGTGGTTGTGAGAGTGGTCCAGCATTTTTGTTTTCTCAAATAAAATGCTGTGTCCAGGTTGGTTCATCAGGTGCTCTGCTATGGCTGATTTCTCTGGTTGGAGTAGTCTGCAGTGCCTTTCATGTTCCTGGATTCTTGTTTGGGCGCTGCGTTTGGTGGTCCCTATGTAGACTTGTCCACAGCTGCATGGTATACGGTAGACTCCTGCAGAGGTGAGAGGATCCCTCTTGTCCTTTGCTGAACGTAGCATTTGTTGGATTTTCCTGGTGGGTTTGTAGATTGTTTGTATGTTGTGTTTCCTCATCAGCTTCCCTATGCGATCAGTGGTTCCCTTGATGAATGGCAGGAACACTTTTCCTCTGGGTGGATCTTCATCTTTACTCTCGTGGCTTGTTCTTGGTCTTGCAGCTCTTCTGATGTCTGAGGTGGAGTATCCATTGGCCTGGAGAGCCCAGTTGAGGTGGTTCAGTTCATCTTGGAGGAGGTGGGGTTCACAGATTCTTTTTGCACGGTCTGCCAAGGCTTTAATGGTGCTTCTTTTTTGACTTGGGTGATGGTTGGAGTTTTTATGTAGATATCTATCTGTGTGTGTGGGTTTTCTGTAAACGGTGTGACCCAATTGTTGATCTGGTTTACGGATGACTAGGACATCTAGAAAAGGCAGTCTTCCTTCCTTTTCTTTTTCCATAGTGAACTGGATGTTTGGGTGGATGCTGTTAAGATGTTCCAGGAACCTGTTGAGTTCTTCTTCTCCATGGCTCCAAATGGTGAAAGTGTCATCCACATATCTGAACCATATCGTGGGCTTTTTGGGTCCTGTTTCAAGAGCTTGTTTTTCATTCTTTGTTTTATTATGGTCTTTGGTGACCCCTCTGACACCCTCTCGCGACCCTCGGGTTGAGAAACGCTGCCATAGATGAACCAGGACTTCTTAAACTTTTCCACTCATTGTATTGTCGAAGGCTTTCATGGCTGGAATCACTATGTTCTTGTGGGTTTTTTCGGGCTATAGGGCCATGTTCTAGAGGCATTTCTCCTGACGTTTTGCCTGCATCTATGGCAAGCATCCTCAGAGGTAGTGAGGTCTGTTGGAATTGGGACAATGGGTTTATATATCTGGGGAATCATGTTCCCTTTTGGCCTGCGAATTTTTTATGTGACCCTAGGTATATAAAATATATTAAAATCAAACATTTACTCAGCATAAATCGGCATTTGCAAGGCTTGCAAAAGAGGATGAAGCATCTTCTGTAGATTCCACTGTAAACATTTCACAGCAGGTCTAAACACTGATGTTCAGAAAACTATTATTGTTGCTAGATGTTTCAGAATCCCAACACTGAGTTAAAGGGATTCCATTTGTGGCTGGAAACCAGAGTTGAAGTAGTGCCGTAGAATGAAAATACAGTGATTGTGAACTGCCTCAAGTCGCCTCTGGCTGAGAAAGGCGGTATGCAAATGCAGTAAATAATAAATAAATAAATATTTTGTGCTGGGAGAGATAGATCTCAAAATGGGGCATCAAACACTCTTTTTCGAAACAGCTCTGAATACATAGGATGGAGAGAACGTCCTCCTTTGAAGATTTTATGATATGAAGAAATACAGCCTTTATTGAGAGGCTGTTTTGGAATTATTGACTTGATTTGGTCCTTAAGTTCCCCTGACCTAGAAAATGAAGTGTCAATACACTTGCCTCATATTATTAACTTCTGACAAGATCAACCATTCCTTGGGTGTGAAGTGCTAGTATGGGAATGAGCTACAGCTCTCAGATGGAAAGATCATCTGGAGAGACCCTGCTCTCGGTCCTGCCATCATCACAAGTTGGTGGGAATGAGAGACGGCCTTCTCAGTGATGGCCCCTCGGCTATGGAACGCCCTTCCTAGGGAGATTAGATCGGCTTTCTTGCTCCTATCATTCCGGAAGAATCTTAAGACATGGCTATTTGAGCGGGCATTTGAAAATACGGAGTAACAGATATAATAGCGGAATAACTATATGGTGGACATTGGGCATTGTTTTATGATTATCGATTGGAGTATGTTTCATTATAATGTTTGATTTTATTGTTGCTGATGTTTTTATATTGTATATTGTAATTGTGTACTTACTGGCATTGAACTCTTGCCTTGTAAACCACCTCGAGTCACCGGAAGGCTGAGAGCGGTGGTATAGAAATGTACTAAATCTATATAAATAAAAATGTAATGTTCGTTTGTGGGATTAACAGAACTCAAAAACCACTGGACGAACTGACACCAAATTTGGACACAAGACACCTAACAACCCAATGTATGTCCTTCACTAAAAAAAAAATGATTTTGTCATTTGGAATTTGTGGTTGCTGGGATATATATAGTTCACCTACAATCAAAGAGCATTCTGAACCCCACCAATGATGGAATTGAATCAAACTTGACACACAGTTCTCCCATGCCCAACAGAAAATACTGGAAGGGTTTGGTGGGCAGTGTCCTTTGGTTTTGGTGTTATAGTTCACCTCCATCCAGAGATCACTGTGGACTCAAACAATGATGGATCTGGACCAAACTCTACATGAATATCCTATTTGCCCAAATGTGAACACTGGTGAAGTTTGGAGAAAATAGAATCTTGACATTTGGGAGTTGTAGTTTCTGGGACTTATAGTTCACCCACAATGAAATAACATTCTGAACCCCACCAACGATAGAATTGGGCCAAACCTTCCACAGCAACGCATGGCAGGAGATAGCTAGTAAATAAATAAAATTAGTCTTAACTACTTCAGTGAGACAATGAATTCTCTGAACAGAAAGATTTTGGAGTAGCTATGGGGAACCCTCTCAGCCCGGTCATAGCAAATTTCAACATGGAACGCTTTGAGAAACAAGGCCTGGAAACAGCAACAAAAAAGCCCATTATATGGTTCAGATATGTGGAGGACATCACCATTTGGAGCCATGGAGAAGAAGAACCCAACAAGTGCCTGGACTGTCTTAACAGCATCCACCCAAACATCCAGTTCACCATGGAAAAAGAAAATGAAGGAAAACTGTCATTTCGAGATGTCCTAGTCATCCGCAAACCAGATCAACAATTGGGACACACAGTTTACAGATAGATACCTACATTAAAAAAAATCCAACGTCACCCAAGTCAAAAAAGTACAATTAAAGACCTGTGAAGCCCACCTCTTCCAAAGTGAACAACACCTGAACTGGGCTCTGCAGGCCAATGGAGACTTCACCTCAGACATCAGAAGAGCTGCAAGACCGAGAGTCAAGACTAAGATCCACCTAGAGGGAAAGTGTTCTTGCCATACATTAAGGGAACCACTGACCGCAGAGGGAAGCTGATAAGGAAACACAATCTACAAACTATCTACAGACCCACTAAGAAAATCCAACCAATGCTCCATTCAGCAAAGGACAAGAGGGATCCTCTCACTTCTGCAGGAGTCTACCGTGTACCATGCAGCTGTGGACAAGTCTACATAGGGGCCACCAAACGCAGCACCCCAAACATGTATCAAGGAACATGAAAGGCACTGCAGACTACTTCAACCAGAGAAGTCAGCCAAAGCAGAGCACCTGAGGAACCAACCTGGATGCAGCATATTATTTGAGAACACAGAAATGCTGGACCACTCTCACAACCACCATGTCAGGCTACACAGAGAAGCCATTGAAATCCA